AATTGATACATATTTTCCCTACTTATATTGATACCTAATATTGACCATTCAGCGTACTTAGAATTATTGACTTTAAGTTTCTTTACTGTAAAATTTTTATCAAAATGATTTTTTATTATATTGAAAAAACGATTATATGATATATTTGGATTAATATTATCAAATATCAAAAACGGTAAACTTCCATTTAATCTGTTTTTAAAATTCTGTAATTTAAATGCTGTTGTAGAACTTATATATACTCTCGTTTTTTTCATTACATGCGAATGTTGCTATTTGTCCACAATGGTCTGACGGCAATCTATTTATAATCGATTTATTTAAAATACTAAAATTACAATATATATTATCAATACATGTTGCCGTAGTGGATGTAATCCTAGTAGGTTCAAAGAAAATATGATCCAGATCAAAACTTTTAAAAAGGTTTCTAATTTTATTACTTATAGGACTATCAACAAGAAGATCTATATTGAAATCCCCACATACCAAAATAAATTTGTTGCTTTTGAATGCTAACTTCAGTACATCTTCCATGGTAGACTCAAATTTTTCATAGTCTGAGTTAGGAGGCATACACACATATAATTATGTGTTTCTCTAGTTCTACACATGATAATTCTATAATGCATTCTGTAGCCGACGTGCCATGCGACTGCAAACCGGACCTGTAAAAATAAAAACTAAAATATTAATAAAAATAAAAAACACATAAAATATATAGAAATAACCATAATGTATATATAAATTCATACTTACCTTTTACTATAGATATGTATAAATTAATACTTTGCTGTTGAAATATATTGTTTGTTGGTAGGGTGTATCCGTAAAATTTAATGTTACATACCTGTATACCTACTTATTTGATAATTAAATTGATCCCACCGCTTGTGCGTAGATAGCGACACCTATAGCAGTTATCACTTCCCTCGCACCGCACGCGAACGCGTCCACTATCCTCACGCTATATATGCGCAAGCGACACGGACAGCTGTACACTTCTATCGATTTTCATTACTGAATATTTCACCACTCCACGCTTAACTGTATCGGCTTCAAGTGGTCTTCGAGCCAGATCTTCACGTGGAACTGTAAAATATTCAACTTATGTTCCATACACCGCCTCGCACGCGCCGCCATTTTGATATCACGGTGCGCACACGAAGCGCATGGAAACAAGAAACAGAAAATATGATGAAGAAATCCTCGCCCCGCGATATTCAATCAGAAATATTGAAGAAGGGAATAGCAGAAAAAGATAACCTTGCCAAACGACCATTGACGGATGGAAATAGTATGAAGAAAAGCATCCAAAGTGAGAAGGCCTCCACCAAGAGAAGTATCGACTCATCTAAATCCTTGGAAGCACGTAAAAAGCAACTAGAGTACGAAGCAGCGAAGGCGAAGGCCAAAATTCAAGAAGAATTAATCGAGAAAAAATTACAAGCCGACCTAGCTGTTTTGGAAAGTAAATCTAAAGGTCAATCAAGAGAGAATAGCGTAATAGACTCTGTTGAAAAAGTACAACAGTGGCTCGATCGTAGTCATGCACCGGAGCTAATAAAAGAACAAGAACATGAACAAATAGCCGAGTACAGTGGTGCAGAAGTAAAAAACTTAATCGGTGCAATTCATACGAGTAACAATCAAAATCAACAGCTGATATCTCGATTAAGTACATCAAAGGACCTACCTATATATTGTGGTGATCCCCTAGAATGGTTAGCTTTCAAGCAGGCCTACCATGACTCAACAAGTTTATGCCAATATAGTGAAATGGAAAACATGTGGCGACTTCGGAAGTCACTCCGTGGCGACGCTAAAGAAACCGTGTCGTCTCTGCTCATTGGCAACACGACACCACAAATCGTCATGGAAGCTCTAGAACTGAGATATGGAAGACCGGAAGTCATTATAAATAAAATTACGTATCAGTTAAGAAAGATACCACCACTACCACAAAATTACCACCACGAGATTGTTGTATTCTCAATAAAAATAAAAAATTTTGTAGCCGCAGTTCAAGCAGTAAAACAGACAGATTATTTAAGAAGTCCAGAACTAGTGACCCAAGTGCTAGGAAAATGTCCTAGTTCGCTTATAAACAAATGGGCTGACTACTACAGCACACACCGCTCTACAGACGTAGCTAAATTGGAGCTACTCGCCGATTTTTTTTATAATGAGGCAAATAAGATATCCACAGCTGGACTGACTCATATATACAGTCAAGCGGACTACAGAAGGAAACCCGAAGATAGAAGACAACAGCACTCCATACATTTAGCCCAGAGTCACGCCAACCCCGTAAATTGTAAATTCTGTCATGGTGGCAGCCATAAGTTAACAGAGTGCAGTCGATTTAAACGAGCTATGACTAGAGATCGGTGGCGTTTCATACGAGTGCAAAGATTGTGTCACAAATGTTTGCTTGCAACTCATACGCGCGACACTTGCTCAGCAGCCGCTTGCGGGATCGATGGATGTACGCTGCCACACCACCGGCTTCTACATTGGAGACAAAAAACCAGTGATGTAAATAAAAATAGTGATCAAGACGATTCGTATATAAACACTGATAATAGTTCGATAGTAAATGACAATATGGTGCCTAGTAACATTTTATCAAAAACAGAAACAGTAGCTCATGCCATAAGTGAATCTAAAACGCCTATTTATCTAAAAGTAGTGCCCGTAAAAATACATGGACCGCGAGGTATACTCAGTACGTATGCGTTGCTCGACGACGGCGCAACGATATCATTAATATCAGCTGATATCGCCGACCACATCGACCTCAACGGACATAAACAAAACCTGTGTATTAAAGGGGCATGGGATTCAGAACTGATGTGTGAAAGTGAAATCATAAACTGTAAAATTTCAAATAATAATAACGAGATATTTGACTTAAGTGCAAGAAAAATAAATGAACTAAATTTACCAGTGCAAAAATTATCAAATATAAACCTTAAAAACTACGAACATTTAAAACATATGGACTGTTATAAGTTGTGTTGTGAAAATGTGAAACCAAAATTATTAATCGGACAGGACAATTACCATCTCATTGCACCTGAAAAAGTAATTATAAAGGGAAAGAATCAGCCATGCGCCACCCTGACACCTCTAGGCTGGTGCATACATGGCGTGTGCCCAGATGGACGTCCTAGATATAATAGTCATAAATACGAAAATTTATTGAACACCGCTACCGCAATTGAAACGTCGCCAGAGCAACAGAGTAGTACTGCGGTCGCCCGCGCCTCAGTCAGCCGCTACCCCCGCCACACCTGCACGCCCGCTGCAATCGTCGCATCTCTTTCACGGGTGATAACGCATACAGATGCATGCCGGGACACGACGACTTTGACGCCTGTACTTCACGAACCTTTACTACGCTGCGAATGTACAAGCGTAGACAATGCAATTATGAATGAATGCGCTTGTTTACATCGTCCGCATGACGCAATACACACGGACTGTCAGAATGACGTACATGTTCACGAACTTGTTCGTAAATACTTCATGTTTGAAAGCATCGGAGTCCACAATCGACCGAGACAGAATAAGGAAGAACTGCAAGCTATAGAGACGATAGATAAATCAGCAAAATTAAGAAATGGTAGATGGGAAGTCGGCTTACCATGGAAAGACATAAATACTGGAATGGTAGATTCTTATTCAAACGCATATAAACGATTAAAAACAATTGAAAAAAAAATGGTTATTAACAAAGATTACGCTTCGAGATACAAAGAAAGGATCGAGCATTTGTTCGCCAATGACTACGCCCGTAAAATCGAACCCTATGAAGCTAAACAATATTTTAAAAAAGTGTGGTATCTCCCGCACTTTGGAGTCGATAACCCAAACAAAAACAAACTACGATTAGTATATGATGCTGCTGCAACATCCACCGGCCAATCTCTAAATGACTATTTACTACCAGGACCGAATTTGCTCGAATCTTTGCTCGGAATTATGTTACGATTTCGAGAACAACCTGTTGGCCTCACTGGAGACATCAAAGATATGTTTCTTCGTATAAAGATTAGGCCAGAAGACCAACATGCTCTGAGATTTCTATGGCGTGACAGTATTAATGAAGCTATGGAAGAGTATGTGATGACGTCACTAATATTTGGTGCGAATTGTTCTCCCTTTGTGGCACAGCATATAAAAAATAAAAATGCATTAGCGTATATATCTAAAATGCCAGAAGCAGTAACAGCGATAATAAAAAATCATTTTATGGACGATTACATTGATTGTTTCGAGAGTTCAGAAAAGGCACTGAAAACACTGAAAGAAGTCGCCTACATTCACCATCATGGCGGTTTCGAGATAAGAAATTGGACATCAAACGAGACGTCAGTGTGTCAAAATATGCCAAACGAAACCTTAAGCTCAGCTGCCGTAAAATTTAAAATAGAAGATATTAACCAGAGCGAACGTATACTGGGTCTCCTATGGTACCCGAAGGACGATACCTTTGGCTTTAATCTATCATTTCATCGAATACCGAATAACATACTAAGAGGATTAAAAATACCAACGAAAAGAGAATTATTGAGAATAGTAATGTCCATATTCGATATATATGGATTTTTAGCGCCATACACAATTAAAGCTAAGATAATTATGCAACATTCCTGGAAAATAGATTTAAAATGGGACGAAGAAATAAAACCTACACAGTTTGAATTATTTCGTGAATGGATTACGCAATTACAAGATCTGAATGAATTACGGATACCGAGATGGTACTTTCGCCCGCCTGATCAGAGCGAGACAGATAGCATTACCGCTAATAACATCGGTATGACCACAGCGCGTGCGAGCGAGACATTACAATTGCACTTGTTCTGCGATGCCTCACCGACTGCGTATGCGGCCGTTGGATACTGGCGCGCACACACTGAAACCGATGGTGCGTGTCATTCATCGCTAGTAAAAGCCGTGTTGCTCCTATAAAGGCTGTTTCTATCCCACGAATGGAACTGCAGGCCGCGGTACTAGCATGTCGCCTTGCCGATACAATACAAAAGGAACATCGTCTGAAATCAATAAAAAGATATTTCTGGAGTGATTCAATGACCGTGCTACACTGGATTAAAAATGAAAATCGAAACTACAAAACATTCGTCGCAAACAGACTCGGCGAAATCGATGAATTATCTAACACAAACGAATGGCATTATATACCTACCCATAGCAACATAGCGGATATAGCTACAAAAATTAATTCCCATAAATTACACAAAGATTGTGAGTGGTTCCGGGGGCCGAAGTTCTTGTATGAGAAGGGACAGGATTGGTTTACTGCACCTGAAAAGGAAAAGAAAAAAATTATTGACGAAAACCTTGAAATAATACACCATGTATATGAAATGCCGGACAGTCCCCTGCCGCTGCCAAATCCCGATAGGTTTTCATCTTGGCTTCGTTTATTGAGATGTACTGCAACTGTATTATTAACAATAGAAAAATTTAAAAGAAGTGATATAAAGGAAATTGATATGAAAATGTTGGAACGCGCTGAAATTTTATTACTGCGTCACAGCCAGATGCAATCATTTGCCATTGAAATATATCTATTAAAAAATAATAAACCTATCCAATTTAACAGCCGATTGCGAACGCTGACTCCATATCTCGATGAAATGGGATTACTTCGAGTCGGAGGGCGCCTGGACGCCGTGATGGGTGTCACGTCGGAAGTAAAATGCCCGATAATACTGGATGGTCGTCACGCTGTTGCTAAGCTAATAGCAAAAAAATACCATGAAAAATATGCCCATGGAAATAATGAAACAATAGTAAACGAATTAAGACAGAAGTATTGGCTGCTAAATTTGAGACCCACAATACGAACCGTCGCTTCAAAATGTTTATTCTGTCGCATTAGAAAGGTTGTACCTGTTACACCACGTATGGCAGATCTACCTAAGGCAAGATTGGCTCATCACGAACGAGCGTTCACACACTGCGGCGTTGACCTATTTGGTCCAATGGAGATTACTGTAGGTCGCCGCAGGGAACGTCGCTATGGAGTGTTATTTACTTGCATGACCGTCCGAGCTATACATATTGAATTGGTACCATCACTGACTACTGATTCGTTTATAATGGCGCTGAGACGTATGGCTTCACGACGAGGATGGCCACAGTATATGTACTCTGACAATGGTACTAATTTACGTGGTACTGAAGCTGAATTAAAGAAATCATATCAAGAACTAGACCAGACTGTCTTAAAACAGGAGACCTCCAATCGAGGTATGACCTGGTCCTTTATATCACCAATCAGCCCTCATAAGGGAGGGGCCTGGGAACGATTAATTAGGAGTGTCAAAACTGCGCTGAAAGTCATTCTTAAAGAACGAGCTCCACGAGAGGAAACACTAGCCACCTTGCTTACTGAAATAGAAAACATGGTAAACAGCAGGCCGTTGACTCATGTATCTGTAGAACCTGGCAGTATGGAAACTCTGACACCGAATCATTTTTTAATTGGCTCCTCTTCAAACTTACCTATACCTGGAGTGTTTGATGACGGCGATTTACACTTACGAAAAATGTGGAGAACTGCTCAAAGATTAACTGATATGTTTTGGAAACGATGGATGAGAGAAATCTTACCAACACTAATACCACGGCAAAAATGGCACAAGGAAGACTGCCAACTAAAACCTGGAGATATAGTCGTAATAGTAGACGGGAATCTGCCTCGTAACACATGGCCAAAGGGCAAAATTGATAAAATTTATCCCGGGAGAGATGGACGGATAAGGACAGTAGATGTGAAAACAAAAACTGGCATACTTACCAGACCAGTTACACGCTTGGCACTCCTTCCGGTGCTCGAATCGTGTCCCTGAAGTGACACTGGGCGGAGATTTGTAGCCGACGTGCCTCGCGACTGCAAGCCGGACCTGTAAAATAAAAACTAAAATATTAATAAAAATAAAAACACAAAACATATAGAAATAACCATAATGTATATATAAATCCATACTTACCTTTTACTATATATATGTATAAATTAATACTTTGCTGTTGAAATATATTGTTTGTTGGTAGGGTGTATCCGTAAAATTTAATGTTACATACCTGTATACCTACTTATTTGATAATTAAATTGATCCCACCGCTTGTGCGTAGATAGCGACACCTATAGCAGTTATCACTTCCCTCGCACCGCACGCGAACGCGTCCACTATCCTCACGCTATATATGCGCAAGCGACACGGACAGCTGTACACTTCTATCGATTTTCATTACTGAATATTTCACCACTCCACGCTTAACTGTATCGGCTTCACATTCATTTGAAAGTGCTACAATATCTTTACGTTAAATCTAATAAAATTATTTAAATCTTTAACGTATTTAAGAAACTCCTCAGGTTCCTGTAACCTAGTTGACGTTACACTAGCCCTAATCATTCTGTCATCTATACCGTATATTAAATAATCCACCGCCTTTTTACCTACAATTTCACACGCGTTTAATAATATCATTTTCTCGTAATAATATTCATCAACAGATTGATTAATTGACATTCGACAATTTAGCATATCATTAAGTAGAGCCCCATAATTACCCTCCGAAGGAAATGCTTTTATGAGACGTTCCTGCCATTCACGCCAAGATAATAGTATGGTTTGTAGTCCTTCATACCATTTCTTAGCATGTCCTACTAATTTAGGTAGAGCAAAATGTACCGTCTGTTGATCAGTCCAGTTGAATATCTTTGAGCACTCGTTAACTTTAGCTAACCAATCTTCTATTCGTTGATTTTTTTGAGTCGGATCAAAATGAGGTGTAATATTTTTATCATATGGAATATTCTGGCTTACATTCGACCGCATAATATTTTGTAATAATTGAATAAATCATTAACACTAATAGTCACATTCTGTTCACGCTCACCGGTCGATCCGTTGCCTGTGGCACTGTCGTACCTGGTGACCGCGAACCCGGCCCAACTGCCGGCCGATTTGAAGGTTCCGCCACAGTTTGACGTAACGTGTCTGCATTGTTTAGCATATCCGTGCAAGACTGAAAAGGAAAGTGGAGAAAAAATAATAGTAATTCGTTGATGAACCATCAAAAATAATTACTTCATAAAAAAAAGAACTCAATTGACATAGGTATAGATGTATAGTATGTTGAGTATCCATTTATGCAATCAAATTTTATGTAATAACTAGGTAGCTAAGTAATAGCTGAATAATAATATTAAGCATGATAATAACTATGACTAAATAAAGCATTGATAGTTTATTAATGTATTAGTTTATAAAACACTGAAGTATTTTTTTTTTATAAAGACCATACTGTATCTTGAATATTCATAGAACTTAAACGTTAAAAGAATACATAAATTAAAAATATATAAAATATATATACAATATACATATATACGTTCACATCTATCTATAATGTTCTGTACGAACAAGTGAAGAAACGACACACAGTATTTACTCAAAACGAATATGAAAGAAAAATAGAAATGAAAAGGAAATCATAATAATGAGAAGAAAAAAAAAAATCATGTATATACACAAATGAAATTGAATTTTATCGCATACCTACGTACAAGAATGAAAGAGAGAAAAAAAGAAAAATACTAGCCTGAGTCGTTATATCTGCTTCATTGTGTACCTCTGCTCGAATTTCTGGCGATCGCCCACGAGAGGAGACCCCTGCCTTCCGCGATGTGGATCTTCGTCTCCGAGATTTCCGGTGCTTATCTTTCCGTGAGTCCCTTCATCTAGGTCGCTTGCCGAATCAGACGAATTTCCACCAGAACTTGTACTGCTATAGCGGCGTCGACGCTTATGTCGCCGACGAGAACGGCGCGAATGATCACGAGAACGTTGCACATTTCTAGAATTTTGAACACCGGCTTCCATACTAACTAATATTATTAATATTATCCCACTTCTGATATAAGAAATCAGGTGGCAATAATAAAAACAGTCAATCTATATGCAAGCCGTTTATTCAAAGTTCTTCTTTGTTCTAACTCCAGCGCGTAACTAACTTTCTGAACCGATTACCCCTTTTTATGAAAAAGGGTAGTCGCTTCATTCCTTTCCTCTATCTATCATTACACTACAATTATACAAAACAGTGGAACATATAATACTTAAAATGGTTTTAGAAAATACCATAATTAATTAGCATTTCCTTGTAGATATTGTATCATTATTACATTTTTATAATATAAATAAGTTATGAAATAAACACGAATGTCTCTAATCTAACTAATTGTAAGATGGCGCTGTATAGTCAGTACAATACTTGATAGTTTCCTATTTAATCATTTCATAAAGATAATATATGGACATATAAATTATGTCTTACACTATCATTACATGGGCACTCCACCCGCCAGTTGTAAGAACAAAACGCTAAATTAATATGACAATATATCACATATAATTGAATATAACCATTATTTACTATAACATAAGTGCAAAGAGCTGGTATCCAAAAACAGAATAAATAAAAACTTCACCTACACTTGCAAGATTGACTTATTACACTGTGGTTAAGATTGAAATTTAACCATGACAATCGGTTTAAAAATTGACATATGCTGTGAGCTGCCATTAGGGTGAAATAGAAATAGAAATAGAAATAATCTTTATTCAAATAAACTCATTACAAGCACTTTTGAATAGAAGTGGTAGAGCAAGCTGTACGACCACACGTAGTTGTTCAGCTCGATTGGGCCGCTCGAAACGGGAAATACCACACCTCGGCAGAATTATCGCGTTTCGCATGGTGAGCTGTAGGTTCCGGATGCCCCTCCCCCTCCCCTTTCTTACATACCAGGGCAGCGGAATATAAGAGATTTTTACCCCAGGGTGGTACCAGTAACTGTGTTACTGGAGAATCCACCTCTGAGATATCACACTCAGGCTGCCCTGCGTATTCTGGGGTGGGCAATTCTCCGCTCAATTTGGCCAGAAGGAAACCGAGCAAATCTCCATCGGCGTTTCCCTTGCTCATAGTCAGTTTTTGCAACATCAGGGGAATTCATTCCAATCTCAACGCCGTCCACCACCACCTAGAGACGGCGAGGCCGGCTTTGCTCTTCCTTACGGAGACGCAAATATCCTGTCCCGACGAAATTTCGTACCTGACCTACCCTGGATATAAATTGGAACACCATTTTATTCCACGGGCCGGTGTGTGCGCTTATGTCAGAGAGGATATTTGTTGTCGCCGTCTTGGTACACTTGAAGGTACTGACCTGTCCATTTTATGGTTGCGTGTAGATTGCGATGACCACCCTCGCATCTATACATGCTTATATAGGTCCCATAGCGGTAACACCGAAACTGACCGACTCATTGAACACGTCCAAATGGCTACAGATTTTTTGCTCCAACAGATTCCCTACGCTGAGGTCGTGATTCTAGGTGATTTTAACGCCCATCACGCTGAATGGCTCGGTTCACGTACCACCGACTATGCGGGGAGATCTGTTCATGGCTTTGCTTTGGCATATGGTTTGACGCAACTGGTATCCTCGCCTACGCGAATTCCTGATGTTGTTGACCATATACCTTCACTGTTGGACCTTCTGCTGACTTCTCATCCGGACGGATATCAGATCTCTGTGGAAGCCCCACTGGAATCCTCTGATCATTGTCTGATACGGAGCGAAGTGCCTCTCACGCGTCCTTCTTTGCCGCGATCTATTGGTCGACGTCGTGTTTGGCATTTTAAGTCGGCAGATTGGGATGAGATGCGAAGTTTTTTTTTTCGGGAAATTTCTGTCAGCCATCTTTTCCACCACTGCGCAGAGAGGATAACTCGTTGGCCCAACATGCTAAAGAGAAGGCCGATCTCCTTGGGTCTCTTTTTGCGTCCAACTCGACACTGGACGATAGGGAGCAATCACCGCCGGTCATCTCGCGGTGTGAGACTTCTATGCCAGAGGTAAAATTTACCCAAAAGCTGGTACGTAAGTCTCTTTTCTCCCTAGATATCCATAAATCGAGAGGGCCTGACGGTATTCCTGTTATTGTGCTCAGGAAGTGTGCACCTGAGTTGGCTTCGGTACTAATGCGTCTTTTCCGGTACTGCTACTCTACAGGTGTAGTCCCGAAACTTTGGAAGACGGCTTTGGTTCATCCGATCCCTAAGAATGGAGAACGCTCAGATCCAGCTAACTATAGGCCCATAGCCATCACCTCCTTATTCTCAAAGATCATGGAGTCGAGTGTCAACCGTCAACTCCTACGATACCTAGAAGTGAACCAGTTGATTTCTAATCGTCAGTATGGCTTTCGCCAGGGTCGGTCGGCTGGTGATCTTCTAGCGTATTTGACACATCGATGGGCAGGGGCTATTTAGAGTAAGCCTCCCCCTTACTCTAAATAGTCTATCTGATACCCTATCTGTTAGTCTGGATATTGCGAAGGCCTTTGATCGGGTTTGGCACAAAGCTCTTCTTTCAAAGCTACCATCCTTTGGGTTGCCTGCGATGTTATGCAAATGGATCGCCAGCTTTCTCGCTGATCGGAGCATCAAGATCGTTGTCGATGGTGCTTGCTCCGACCTACATTCTGTGAATGCTGGTGTTCCACAAGGCTGTGTGCTATCTCCGACTCTGTTCCTTCTGCATATCAATGACATGTTACAAATCAACAACATTCATTGCTATGCGGATGACAGTACCGGAGATGCCTTGTACAGCGGCCATGCTAATATGTCGCAGGCAAAAGTTATAGAGTACCGGAACAAACTTGTGTCCGAAATCGAAACTTCACTCCATCAAGTTTCGGTCTGGGGTCAGGAAAATTGTGTTCAATTCAACCCCAAGAAGACACAAGTTTGCGCGTTTACCGCTAAAAAG